CTACAGTTTAGCATCCTTTAAGTTTAATTTTCCACCAGTATTCAAAATATCTTTGTCAGTTATGATTTCCTCAAAGTTAGTTACATTTGGGTAGCCAAAAGTTTCATTTATATAAGTCATCCTAGTGTTTTGATAATTCTAATATCAAGAGTGCTATTCTAGTTGTAAATCATATCTTTCTTATTATAGAGCTCTATTTATACCTACGTGTTATCTATTGTTTTGTCCATATTCAAGCAAATATTGGCTTATATAATACCTCATCTGGTATGTCACATCTTCGGGTTTTTTTAGTCTAATTCTAGCTTTCTTTCTTTGCCAATCAGCTTTTCAGGCCAAAGTAATTAAATCATCAACAAATTCTTCCTTTTTTTGTAAATACTGCTTGGAATGGGGAAAAAATTTAAGTAGGGTATTTTTGAGGGGGAATTCCGCCCAGTTATATTCATTAAACAACTCCCACTTTCCTTCTCCCTCAATTTTTCTTTTCATTTTTGTCTCCCAATTTCTGACATTTCCCCTAACAGCTTTATAATCTGTTTTTTTAAAACCGCCTTCCTTATCCTCAAGTATATTTTGAAAACCTAAAGAATAAGGTGCTTTTTCCATTTCCATTGTTGTAGCTAAGTCTTGAAGATTTTTATTTGTCTGTGCCAAATTATGTTTCCATTCTTTTATATCTTGTGTCTTTAGATCAGTTTCCTCTGTTTCATCTTCTGTTTTTTGACTTGTTTGTTCATTCTGTCTGTCATTTTCTGGGAACTTTCTAGTTGTGAGTTTAAGTTAGAAATTTGCTCATTTATATTATCAAAGTTGTTTTTAATCTCATCATGATTTCTTCTTTCATCTTCTTTATTTGAAATAATTATCTCTTAGATTAATTGTAACATAGAATGCATTTCCTTCTGAAAAATGATTACTTTTTAAGTCATCACTCCTACAAAACCATGGCAAACCTGGCTGGGGACTTCAGATGGGAGTATTAAGTATGTTTTCCTACTATTTTGACTAGATATTGTAAGGACCCACCTCAATTTTACATCTTAAGAAGACAGAACTCTTGGAATGTCTCTTCCAACAGGGATCTTTATTAAAAGAAGCTGATTGTAGGCATGCTAGACAGGATCTGGGGAATCCTCTCCCACCATTCAATGTTTTAAAGTGTTTCCAAGCAGCCCCCACCCCACAGTTTTTCTGGGTTATTCAATCCATCAGTCCGCTCTGTCAGCACAATCACTCATCCTCTTTTCCCATATCCCAGGTGTTGTATTTCCCACCCCCTTTTCCTCACTGCCAAAGGGGAGTGAGATGAAAGGCGATGGCCACATTATTATGGTTAGTTCTCTCGATGAGAATCCACAAACGGTCACTTTGTAGTTAATGAAGGAAGTGAGAGTCATAAACTCCCCATGCTTACCCTCCTCCCTTTTCGTCATATGACAGAATCCAGAATAGAATAAGAATTGGTTTTTCATCAGAGTAGGTAGATAGAAATGAAATATAATTGGATTACTAATCTTGTCTTATACCACCAATCTTAATGTCCATAAAACAAAGTCTCATCTGGTTTTTCTGAACTTTATATACAGACTTTATAATTCAATAAGTTCTAGGATATAGGTCCACCAATGAAAGCAATATTTTAAACACCTGCTCAGGTGTCCAAAAATTGTCAATCAGCCAAAATTTACAATCCAACCATCCTAAGAACAATCCAAAAACCTCCCCCAGACAAACATAGCCAAAAGTCAAATTTTTCTTTTTCTCCAAATAGTTCTTAAGATTAAAAGTTACAGCTCAGTATATTTTTATAATCCAAGAAGGTCAACAAGTTTCAAAACAATTAGGTTCTCACACTGTAGTAAGTATGCCAAAATATTTTTCTCTGTTGCCAGCTGTTCTCGGTTGAGTTAAAAGTCACCAAACAACAAAGAATGTAGGTTTTTTTATCTGTTTCTGGGCTTCTTGCCAGATCTATATCAGTTATTGCAGCTGTGGTGCTTTACTCTAGTCCAGTGGTTCTCAACCTGTGGGTCGGGACCCTATTTGGGGTCGAACGACCATTTCACAGGGGTCGCTAAACAAGGCTGTCCGCCATTTTGCCCCCCTTTTGTTTGGCCATGCCCCTGGCACCCGGTGATGTATAAGTGGTTGGGGGTCACCACAACATGGGGAACTGTATTATGGGGTCGCGGCATTAGAAAGGTTGAGAACCACTGCTCTAGTCCACCACTCAATATCCATTTTCCGACTCTTAAAATAGAAGGTTGATTTCTTATATTTCACCCCAGTATTTTTTCAAAGAGAAAATCTTAACAATTTTCTCAGTTCTCAAACTATAGCTTGATATTTCATCAACTTGAATGTTAAATGTTTCTGTCCCCCATAAAAAAATTTAAAACGCCGCTTCCGTTCCTCTGGAAGGGTGGGGCTGTAATCCCCTTCCTTCTCACATTTGGACATTTTTAGCTTTTTGGGAGCCTTTTCCAAGAAATCCAGTAGTAAAATAATGAAGAAAGGATCAATATTCTCACCCAGTTCCAAACACACTGTTTATGATCTGCTAATTAGTGCTTCTTAGTGTGATTTTAGGCCCTTTTAGGGGCCCTTGCAGGGCAAAATTGGGCGCGGAAAGCAGAGCCTTGCATTTCTGCATCTGTGTCATTATGATGTCAAACCAGAAGTTGATGGTAGGGCAGTATTGATTATGTATGTTTTGATCTAGGAGCAGGATGTGAGAGGTAAGAGTGGACTAGGGGTGCTGAGGGGCAGGCTGGATTACTGGGAGAGTGATGAATAGAGAGATATATAGTTGTTTGAAAGCAATTTTCTTGCTCTGCTTTCAGTTTCTATCCTCTGGGCCAGGTAATGGGTTCCTCGGTGGCCTTGGGCTTCAGCTGTTGCTTTTGAATACCAAGTTGGTATGTGGCAAGATCTTATCATGGAGGAGGGTGCTAATGTGTTGTGTCTTATTAAGACCTAGTTGGACACAGGGAAGAGTTCCTCTCTAGAAAAGTGCCCCACAGGTTTTGTGTTTTGAACTGCTAGCTTTCACTGATCAATAGAATCCCCAAAATTGTTCATTCTAGAGATTTCAGTTTGCCAGTGTTGTTGAGTTCAGGGCAACTGATGGCCTTCCTGGCAACCAACAAGTCATTTATGGCCAAACACCTATGGAGGACATATGTTATATCTGGTTGTCTCAGACCAATTGAGATATGATCCGGTAGTGGAAGATGTTAATATTACTCTATTTCGGTGGACAGATAATTCCCTGGTAGCTTTCAGCTCATTGGTATTCCCTGAAGGGAGAGACAAGGCCCATTCAATTGTTCAGTTGATGAACCCAGTGGAATTCCAGAGAAAACTGAGGATTTTCATATGGACTCTGGTGGACAATTCAACTATGGCTCTAGTCACTGGCTGTAATGGGTAGGTGGCTGCATCTTTGGATCATATTGCTTCTATATGGCCTCTCCCTAATCACAGGATGCATCTCCGTTTACTGAGCAGTTCTTGGAAATGAAGCATCAAAGGAGACATCTTGAATAAAAATAGAAGAAGACTCAAATTGATTGAACATGGGCAACAGCTCCATATAAAGGAGTATCTCATGGTAATAAGAGTAATGAAATATCAGTATTTCTCTTGATAATCTTCAAGGAGCCCATTTAGGATGATCCATTCCCTATTGGGTAGGGAGAGCCCCGAACAACATCAGCTGGACTATTTTGGAGATTATTCAGAGAATCTAATAGATAAAGTCACTCAGATTTGCTACATATTAGACTTTGACTGGGAAGCTGAAATGCCTGGGATATATTCTGGTGGTCTGATCTGGGATATGTTTGAATCAGAGAAGTGGACAGGGCTCTCTGCTGACCTGACCACTTGTTTACTAGATTCAGATTCCTCATGAGTTGTGAAAGTGGCCAAGGAAGTTAACTGCAGTTGGATCCATGTAATAGTGTTGGCCTTTTTGAGAGAGAAAGTGGTGCCCACAGCTTTGAAAGAGACAGTGGTGTACCCCCTCCTTAAGAAGCTGTCTTAGACCAAATGATGTTTGGTCTATTAACCAATCTCCAAATTTCCCTTTTTGTGAAAGTTTGTTGAGAAGGTGATCAGTCTGCAGCTGAAGAGAATCCTGGACCAGGGGTGTCAAACTGCCGGCCCACAGGCTGGATGCATCATGCAGAAGCCACACCCACCCATTGCCAGCAATGGCAAAACTGTCCCGATATGTTGCACGACGTCACATGATGTCGTGAGTTTGACATGTCTGATCTAGACCTTTTAAACAGGTTTCAAGCCAGTTTTTAATACTGAGACAGCTTTGGTTGGATCCTAGATGGTGGTGATGCTTCCATTCTTGTACCCCTCAATGTCTCCGTCTCACAACCATCAGCCATGGTATCTTTCTGAGGTTGTACATCATCCTTGAATGGGGAAGTATACTGTAATTCCATCCAAGGTCAAATTTAGAATATCTGAAAATCTGATAAAGTGGATCTTGGACTGTCTAGATCTGTGGATATTCCAAATTTGACCTCAAATGAAGTTATACTTCTCCATTCAAGGATGGTGCACAATTTGGGGGTCTTCCTTGATTCATTAATTCTGCTCAATGAGCAAATAACAGCTGTGGCCAGGAAGGTCTTGCCCAGCTTCATCTGATGTGTCAGTTCTGCGCTTTCCAAGATTGTCAGATTCTTCAGATAGTCATTCATATCCTGGTCACCTCATAGCTTGACTATTGCAGTGTGCTCTACATTCAGCTGCATTCAGAAGACCATCTGGAAGGATCGGAATGCAGTAGTGTAGGCACTGATGGGCATGCCTCCGTATGCTCATTTGAACCTTTGTTTCACAAGTTACTAGTTTGCTTCCAGATGCAATTTAAATTGCTGGTTGCTATCTAAAAATGCATACATCCTTAACAGATCTGTTGATATTTGCAGCCTTCACTGTTTAGAACATCATTTTTTTTTTTCTCTTGACAGGCAGAAGAGGAGAGAGATGATATGGAGAGAGTGAAACTGGATAACAAAAGAATACTTTTCAATCTGTTGCCAGCACATGTTGCTCAGCATTTTCTTATGTCTAATCCAAGGAACATGGTAAGGAAGTTAATTATTTGTTTTCAAGACTTCTATTAAGACTTTTCATTTCTTCAGGGCTTTAATTGTAATGATATAATAATAATTACAATCATATGGCAATGTAGTGGAATAAAAGGAATATTAAAATAACTTACAACAAAGACAAATCTGCAAATAGTCAAAAAAGTTAGATACCTATGAATTTATTTAACAGCAAGATGTACAACATTAAAAGAGAACAATTATGAAAAACTGTTGAAACAAATAAAACTAGACTTGAAAAAGTGGAAAAATCTTCAACTGTCATTACTAGGAAGAATAGCTAAAGTTAAAATGAGTGTTCTGCTGAAATTACTCTTTTTATTTCAAATGATTCCTGTAAAATTGGGAAAAATTTTTATGATGACCTAAATACATCAATATTGAGATTTATTTGGCAAGGGAAGAAAGCACAAATTAAAGCCAAAATGTTACAAGAATCTAAAAACAGTGGAGGATTTGGACTCCCAGACTGGAGACTATATTATCAAGCAGGCCATTTTATCATGGCTCAAAGAATGGATAACGCTTAGAAACAAAAGATTACTGTACCTAGAGGGGCATGACCTACAAATCGGTTGGCATGCCTTTCTGTGGTACGGGAAAAATAAAGTACACAGGTATTTCCAAAACCATGCTATAAGGAACGTACTATTTTTAGAATGGGAAAAAATAAAACAAAAAATTTATATTAAACTACCCGAGTGGCTTTCAACAATGGAAGCTATTGCTTACCCAAATTTAATCAACTATGACAAAGTCATTACTTATAAAGACATTCTGGACAATGAAGGAAAATTGAAAGATAGGCAAGATTTACAATGACAAGGTATTGACCTAGCATGGTGGCCCTATTTGCAAATTCAAACAAGATATCAAAAAGATGCAAAGACAATGGGATTTTATAAAGAACAGATAGAATTTGATCAAATACTTTTAAAAACAGATGAAAACTTGATTAAGAAACTTTACAGATTTCTTCTAAATTTGAAGATGGAAGAAGAACAAGTAAAAGAAACAATGATAACATGGGCAAAAAACTTTGGATATTCTATAGACTTACAAGATTGGCAAAAGTTATGGGATAGAAATATTAAATGGACTAAAGCTGCTTCATATAAAGAAAATTTGTATAAAATGTTCTACAGATGGCACATGATACCAGTAAGACTAGCGAAAATGTTTAAAAATACTTTGAATAATTGTTGGAAATGTAAGCAAAAGCCAGGTACTTACTATCATATCTGGTGGGTATGTCCTAGAGCAAAAAAATTTTGGCTTAAGATTCATATATGGTGGAAAAGATGACTAAAATACAGATAGAATTTAAACCAGAATTGTTTTTGTTAGGAATACTAGGAGCCAAGTATGAGTATTTAATATTGTATATATTGACAGCAGCGAGAATAGCATTTGCCCAATATTGGAAAAATGAAAATTTACTGTCTGAAGAGACCATAATTAAGAAAATTTTAGAATGTGCAGAAATGGATAGACTAACTCTAGAGATTAAAGAGAAAGAAGATTCAGTTTATTTTAAAACATGGGACAATTTTTACCAATGGCTAGCCAAAAGAGAGTGAGAAATGAATGTGATATCTTATTGTGAATGTATATTAATAAGATGAGGGACATGTACTGACTAACTGACATTGTTTATGATTATTGTTTCTTATACTAACTATAGCTATTTACTATCATATTAATCAGTGTTACTGAATACATGTACCTGGACAATAGCCAGCTTGCTAAAGCTTGAGAATGTTTATATCAATGAGGGTAACCCCATTGTCTTTCCCATCCCTGTCCCAACTCTAACCCTGACCCCCATCCTTAACCCCAACTCCCATACTGATCCCATACCTTTCCCAACCTTATAAAACTCAATAATTTTTTTAAAAAAAGGAATATTAAAATAAAAGACAGAGAAGTGGAGAAGATCATGAAGTAATCAAATCTGAAAATCAAAGTTAAGAGTAGATAAGAAAGATTTAAGAAAGTTGAAAGATTATGGCATAAACCAGTGGTGGCGAACCTTTTAGAGACTGAGTGCCCAAACTGCAACCCAAAACCCACATGAATCGTCGCGTGCCGGGTGGGTGTGGCCCATTGGGTGGGCATGGCCCATTGGGTGGGCATGGCTATGGTGGTAACAGCAGACTGGGTGGAACTAAAAAGTTCAATCAATCAATTCCAACTTTGCAAGATCTTTTTTTTCCCCGTGAGAAGTTGAAATTGATTGAACCTTTTGTTTTTTGCACACGGCGGCAGAGGCCTAAAGCGAAAAGGTTTTATAAAATCCAGCTGAAGGCCTAGGACTGGGGCGACGGCGTGTGTGCCCACAGAGAGGGCTCTGAGTGCCGCCTCTGACACCCGTGCCATAGGTTCACCACCACTGGCATAAACCATAAGCTTTGATGGCACTTAGAAAATCTGCATATTGACAAAAATTCCATCTGTCAATTGCAAAAGGCCACACGCTGCTGGGATTTGCACGCGTTCTATGCTCAAATGCCAATTTGCAGTGATTACACATTGCTGTATATGTAATAATTATAATAAAAGATGAAATTAAAGATTGGTTAACCAGCATATACCTAATAATGAAAGATCCAACAAAAGGGGCAGTACCAGGCAACTACAGGCCAATTATCTGCTTACAAACAATTTCAAATTGAGAATTGGATGTACTCTAACAGCATTTAGGTGAATGCTTTTTTCCCATCTGAGCAGAAGGGAAACTTCCCAAAAGGCAGAGGAATAAAATCAATTCCTAATTGACAAGATGATTTTGGAAAAGTATAGGAGAAAGAAGACTAACTTAATCTAGATTGGACTGATTATAAGAAGACAGTTTTATAGGGTTGATCTGATGCTGAAAAAATACTGTCAAAAATGGAATCGCAGCTGAAGGTTGTCTGAATATACAGTCACAATATTATAATAGAATTTGGACTGGAAAAAACGTCACCAGTGACGTAGCTGACTATAGACCCTGGAGACGATTCTCCGTCCCCAGGATTCGGAATTCTTTCACTGGCGGGCCCATCTGGGCTGAATGCCATCCTGGAGGGTGGCCACCAAGGGGTGAACCTTTGAGGTGAACTCAAAACAGCCCCTGGAAACGGCAAAAGAAGAGTGAAGTGCTTCTGCGATCGCCTCCATCATCAGCTGATTGTCGGAGACAGAAGACAGCTGATTGAGAACAATGCCCAGACACTTAGCTGTGTGCCCAGACATTCTTATCTTTTAGAGACCTTTAAGAGAGAGCTTTGTTTGTTTGTTTGTTTTTGCCTAATGTCTGGCTTTTTGCTATCTGTGACTGGTTGTATTTTCTGTAGTAAGCAAACTACACAAGAAGATCTTGCAAAGCTGCAATTGTATTAAAACTTGGTTACTGTTGCCTTGTAGGCGATGATAGATACACAACAAAGAATGCAGAAAATAGAAGAAAAGTCAGCAATGATAGATGAGAAATTAGTAGCCCTACAAGAGGAAAACCAGAGATTGGCACAATCTAATGCAGAATTGGAAAGAAATATGGTGGTCATGGAGATGGAACAGACATCATATTTCTTAAGATTTCAAAATGTGATAGAAGAGAAAGATGAGAATTTATTAGATTTAATGAGTGGACTACTGGTGGATTTACTTGGAATGGAAAAGGACCAAATGAATAGGGAATTGGACCAGGTTTTTAGAGTCAACTCCAGCTATGCAAGAAGGAATAGAGTGCTCAGGGAGGTCCACGTCAGATTTTTTAAAAGAAATCAATGAGATGAAATTTTGAGAATTGTAAGGGACCAACCTATGAAGTATAAAGATAAAGTGCTTGTAGTTCTTAAACAGATTTCTAGAAAAATAAGGGAAGCACGAAGAGATTATCAATTTTTAACAAGGAAACTGATTGATAGAGGTGAATTTTAGATGGTTGATTCCAGAAGGGCTACTGATTTTTTTGGGGGACTCAAAAAGATATAGATTGGACACCCCATTCCAAGCAGAGGAATTTTTCAATAAGCAGAGACCCTTTTTGGAGAAAAGAGATCAGAGGGATCGTCTACTCAGAGACTTCTAAGCAAACAGAGGAGGAGATACCAAAAAAGACACATACAGAGAAAGATGTCAGACCTAAAGATCAGAGACAAATAAGCTCACCTAGAAGATTGAGATCCCGAAATAATTAAAATTATGGAGGAAATTGGAATATACTCAATAAATATAAATGGTCTCAACTCCCCATCAAAAAGGAGTAAAATATTTCATAGGCTACAGAAACTTAAAATGAACATAATTTGTCTACAAGAGACTCATATTAAGAGACAACATTCTAGAATTTTAGAAGAGCCAAAACTTGGCAAACTTTATTTCTCTTCAGCATTACAAAAGAAAAGAGGGATAGTGATATATATAAAAGAAAAGTTGAATCCAAAACAAATTTATTCTGATAAAGAAGGAAGAATAGTAATGGTGGAGATTTCATGGAATCAAAAACAAATATTGTTGGTGGCAATATATGCCCCCAATGAGAAACAAGAGCAATTTTTTCAACAACTATACGACAAACTTGTGGACTTAAACTACCATAGTCTTTGTATATTGGGAGACTTTAATGCAATTGTGGATGCAGTTCGAGACTACAAAAGCCATAAATAAGGGAAGTAATATTTTACCTAAATCTTGTTTAAAAATGAAAGATGAACTATGTTTGCAGGATATATGGTGAGAGATGAATCCAGGAAAGACACAATATACTTTTTACTCTAACAGGCATAAATCTTGGTCATGAATAGATATAATATGGATCTCCCATGGCTTGAAGACTATGATACAGGAAGTTGAAATAGAATCAAATATTTGGGCAGACCATAACCCAATTAAAATGACATGGAAAGGATCTAAGAAAAGATTGAGATGGTCTCTGAATAAATCTATTTTGAAGGGAAAAGAATTTTTACAATTAGCAACAAAAGAAATGG